TTAACGTATAATGAGCTATTGTCAACCTGGAAACGATAAACAATAAAAGAGTAATTAATTATACATAGGATAAAGATAATATTTTTCATAAAAAAAAAGATAATAAAACATTTACCTTCTATAAAAAGGTCTCGATTCTTCAACCGTATCCATTGGGTCTTTACCTAAAAATACTCGCAATCCCCTGATGTAAGTAATAAAAAAACACTTCCAATCAATATCAGCAACATTAAAGAAGAAGTTACTTTTATCAAAAATAGATAATTTGTCCCATAACTTCAAGACATTATCGTTTGTAAATTCCCATTCATTCATTGAAAAGAAACTCATTACATGTTTAAACTTCTCTATTTTTCTGTAGACATTTAGCAGTCTAAAAAAAAAGCCATTAATTTATTTATGCTCTATTTCATCGACGGATAATAAATAGCTTKTTAATCAAAATATTATTATAAATTACATTGGCTTTCTTCCACTGAGATATAAAAAAGAGTCCACTATTATTGCTGGTATCCAGTGTAAAAAAATCGTCATAAAGATATAGAAATAATAGTTCTTGATATACCATAGTGAGGCGTACCAAAGCACTTTTTTCGACGGGACTTGAAATCCCTCAAGCTTTAAATTATTCATCATAGTATCAAACGTAATTGGTCTTTGAACGGAGGAAACAGAATTATAAATTGGAATCTCATCGTCAACAGGTAAGTACTTATTATCACTGCTGGAAAGATTAACACTCTGTGATATAGATCTGCAAGAAAAGTTGTAACTTATTTAATGTAAATGATATTTTAAAAAATTTACTAAAAGTTTATTTTAGTAGTAAACTAAAAAAGGAAATACAAATTACCGTTTTTGTGCAACATCCCATGCTGCAGCAATAATGTTGTTGACAACGTAATCAGCAGGAATCATATCGATAGTTAAGTCTTTATCACAATACAGTGTTCGTAAAATACCTTTCGAGGAACCAAAAACAACACCTGTAATTCCATTCAAATTGTTTATCCAGCCAGCAATTGGTTCCTTTTCTGTGCATACAACAACAGATGGCCGAACAATGCAAGATGGAATTCCATTAGAATATTGCCGTACTGTATCTTCACAGATTGCCTTTGAAAATGCGTAAGTGTTAGGCCACTTACCTAGTAGCCTGTAAAACAAACGAATATGCTTATAGACTTCTGTCTAAAAGAATGCAATAGGTTTCACGTTTTATTACTTTGGGGTGATTAAATCTAACTGGTTTTCGGTTAGAATCTCTGTCAATCTAATTATATCTTCTGTTTTCATAGGAGGCTCATAGAGATTTTCTTCGATTTTATTGTATACACAGTGCGAGTAAGCCGTTGAAACATAAACAAAGGCCTAAAGAACAGAATTATTATAAAATTAGAACAATTTATTTTTAAAATTAAACTAAGTTTTATATATAAATAAATTGATCTAGTGGGGAATTGTGCTTAAACATACGCATTTTTATACAGATGATTTTACTAGGAAAAACATACCTTTAATCTTTTCATCTCTTGTGCAAGCAAGAGAAGATCCCTTGTTCCTCTAATATTTGTATTAACTATAATACGAATATTGTCCAGAAAACGTACTGATGCTGCACTGTGAAAAATTACATCGGTATCTTTAATGCGATCGCGGTCCTTCTCTGACAATCCTAAATTCAATAGACTCGTGTCTCCTCCAATCACAATAATCTTATTTTCAACATCTTTTTGCTCTCTTTTCAGTCTATCAAAAATCTAAAGATTTAAATATAAACTGTAATATTCGTGACATCGTTTATTACGATCATAATAAATATAAAATGTGTAACTTTACTCACAACATCATTGAAATACTCTTTAAATCGAGTTTGCGGATCCTTCTGTTTCTTTGCCCTTACCAGCAAATAAATCGTTGTTATTTCTGGACAACATCTGCAAACCGCAGCAATTGCATTTATAGTAAAAGTTTTTAGCGGAAATTAATTTCTTATAAAATAAAACATTATTGTGTCAAAGCTTATATATAGAAGTAAAGCGAGAAGTAGAAAAAGAGAAAAATAAAGAATAATAATCGTTATCTTTAAATAAAGGTACTATAAGATAGATATATGTTCTAGCAAATAAATCTGTAAAAAAAATAGTTATCTTTTTGCATGACAAAAACTCTATGCTTTTTTCCTTATTTAGAAAGCTTACATTGCTTCGAAAGATAAAATTAATTATTAGACTTCAAACTTGAACAAGATTTGTTTGTATTTATTTCAATCAATATGAATCTCAAGGAGAATAAAACTACTAACAAAAACTATCCGATTGTAAATACAATCCTAATTTATTTAAAATTTATGATTTTAAGCTTATATTGAATGTACTGATTTAATTAAGAACGAAATAGTATATTTCTCACCTAGGGAGGTAAAGTAAGAAATGTCTCAGAGTACATGTAATTGTTGGCCGAGGCGAACGTCAACAACGCGAAGCATCGGCCAACAATTACATGTACTCTGAGACATCTCTTACTTTACCTCCCTAGGTGAGCAATATACCATTACCTTAAAAGTTT